GGTTAAATGACTTTGACTAATAAACTCATTGATCCATATGCTTCAAATCCTTCCTGACAGTCAGTACTCCAGCAATTATGTTTGCTACAGTTACTGGGATGAGGAGTAAATTCACTCACAGGATAAAGTCTAGGTACTTGCTCTGGCTGGATCACTGGGCATGATCCAGTAATTTTGTTTCACGTGGTGTCCATCTAGATTTGTCAGCCAAACAGAAGATACTCTTGACGGTTTAACAGTCAACAAGGTAATTGGGATAATTCATGCTTTCTTTAGGTGTATCTTTTTTTACCACAGATAATAAGAAGTATTCTTTTAAATGATAACTCTGTCAATTCACTGGCTATTTTCCTTCCTCTTTTTTGACTTAAGCTTGTGTTGCTTAAATTTCCTAGTGACATTAACTATAAGGGCATTTGCAAACATCAAAATCATAGTATTCCATTAAAAAAACCACTGCATATTGTTTTAAAAATATTGTCAGAGAAAAATCACATACAATATAGAGAGGGCTATGTGTCATCTAAGAGTTTAATCTGGAGTCATGCTTGAGTTTCTTGCCAAGTATGAGGCACGTTACCTTATCTATCAATGTTTCGGGCTTCTTGTATATTAAAGTGATGTGTGGTAAAGATGAGTACATTTCTTAGAAGGAGTGTTCTGGGGGGTAGCTAGGTGGCTCAGTGGATAAGAGCACCAGCCCTGGAGTCAGGAGGACCTAAGTTCAAATCTGGCCTCAGATGCTTGACATTAGCTGTATGACCCTGGGCAGGTCACTTAACACCAACTGCCTCACCAAACAAACAAACAAAATGAAACAAAACAAAAAAGGAGTGTTCTGTATTCATATTCAAATTATGTATAAACTGGAATTATGTTGGTCATATTTTGCTGTTAAGATAATGAGTACATGTGTTTTACTAATTCCTTTTTTGAGTGTTAATACGTTGTAACTGTAGAAAATTGAATTTCTTTAATTGGACATTTTGATACTGAGGATAAATTGTTTCCTCAAAGAAAGATAATCTTTTCACTCAATACAATTTTTAGTTCATCAATTATTACTAAGCTCCTTCCAAAGCTCCTTTTTCACTTTCAAATGACTAACAACCATAAATGACGATATTTCTTCAAGTATTTGTGATTTATGATTATGCTGGCCTGTGTACTCCATCTACTGACGTAGACTGCGGCCCCTCTTATGTTGTAAGTTGAATTCATTAGCAATGGTTGCAGTGGCTGAAATACTGATCACCCTGCTTACAACCTGATGATAATAGTAATAGTCATCTTAATAATACCTTCCATATATGCATGACACACATATTACTTAATATGTTCCATATATACATTCCCATATTTATAGACACAAGATATCTTATTTGCATTACTTCATCAGATCTGCACAATTCCATTAAGGCAGATGAGAAAACTGAAGCACAGAGAATGTAAATGACACACACTAGATTACATGGTTAGTAAATGGTGGAGCTGGGACTCATACTTCGGTCAGCTGGATATGATCCATATGTAAAAAACATTCAGTGTAATTGGAATACTGGAATATTCCAAGCTCATTTTATTTGCCTAATGAAATAATTTAGCTGAAATGTCACTTTTCCTGAGAAAAATCTAAGAGAACGTAATTATGACTCTTATTAATTATCTTTTATTACTAATGGAGATTCATGACAATGATTCTGAGTTCTTATTTTACATTTACCATTTCAAATATAATCAAGCAATATTTGTCATAGGATCACTCTAATATTTATCTGACAATACGAGTAAGACAAAACAGCATTTTGGTTTTCAGCTAAGATGAAGAAGGCAAGAATCAGAATTCTTGGATTCTATCACTGTTCACTGAATGAGTCATGTCAGCTGGTCTGTCAAAAAGTGAGGAACTAAAATTAAGAACTGCAGTGACAATTTGGACAAATAAGGCAAAAGCCCTTTTGCTTGAAACATCTGCTTTATTCTTTCAAGACTGGCCTGGTTTAGCCAGGTCCTCCACTGTAATTTGTATAGGCATTACGTTTTAATTTTTCATGGTTGTGGATTTTCTATGAATGGCATAGAGATGGACAGGAAATGGTGCTGGAGGCCTAGGTGTGGCAAGCTGTGGTACCTGCTCAAAAATTAGAGACCCGAGTCCCAGGGATGGGAGTCTGAGTTCAGAGTTGGGAGTAGAATCTGGAGAATGGGTAGCACAGCAGAGAGATGGCTGGGAAGCGATCCAATGGTTCTAGGTCCAGGATCAAGAAGACTTCAGTGTCTTGGGGGTGGAAACCCCAGTTCTAAGTCAGAGGTGGAAGCTGAAGCACAAGAAGCATGGCACAGAGATGGCAAGGAAGTGACATAATTAGCCCGAGTTTGGATCAAATAAGGGGAATGGTCACCAATCCGAGCCTAGGTTTCCAAGGAAGGGAGCTTAGAGTTTGAATTGCAGGCAGCCTAGCACAGTGATAGCCAGAGGTGGTATTGTAGATTAGGGACCAGGCAAAATACTGTGAAAACTTGCTAATTAGGCAATAGGGTCTCAAGGGAGGGCTCCTGCATTCTAGGTCAAAGGTGGAGACAGGAGCACAAACAACATAGCATAGAGAGGTCCAGGAAATGACATGGTAGGCTTAGGTTTTGGCAAAATAATCCAAATGTTCAACAATTAGAGCCTGGGGTCCTTGGGAAGGGAGCATGAGTTGCAGGTCAGAGATGGAGATAGGAATGTGAATGGGAAAGCATAGAGAGGTGGCATGATGGCATGAGGGGCCTAGGCCTGGGAAACATAAGCAGAAAGTTCAACAATTAGAGCTCAGGGTCCCAGAGATGGGATCCTGAGTTCTGGTGCAGAGGTAGACACTGGGGCAGCATAGCATGGAGATGTCCCTTAACCTCAAATCTCCCTACCACAAGTCTGTTTAACGATTTAAACAGTTTGGGGGCAGCTAGGTGGCACTGCAGTGGATAGAATGCCAGGTCTGAAGTCAGGAAGATTCACCTTCCTGAGTTCAAATCTGGCCTCAGACATAAACTAGATATATGATCCCAGCCAAGTCACTTTACCCTGTTTGCCTCAGTTTCCTAATCTGTAAAATGAGCTGGAGAAGGAAATGGCGAACCACTCCAGTGTCTCTGCTAATGAGGTCACAAAGAGTTGGACACGACTGTGAAATGACTGAACAATAACAACAACATGGCATTCATTTCTTTTGATGCCTGGCAGCACTCACTGATCATCTGTGCACTTGCCAGCAGTGTTTTTAGGTATGGTATAAAGTTGGGGGCATCAGAGGCAAAGTTATGGACTATTTTCTCTTTCCTTTGTACAAACCCTTTCCCCTGCCATGCCCAATGTTGAGCCCATGGCAGATGCCCTTATTAATGTGAATGGATGTGGAAGAGTCCATGCCATGCCCTTCAACTCGGAAACATACATGCAGCCTCAAAATGCACTTGTAGCAAGGGCTTCTTGTGTCAGATCACACATAGGACTGTACCCGCGTACCCTCCAGGGAGTTTTCCCATACCCACTCTTATTTCTTTCTTTGTTCCACTTTATTAGTTAATGATGCTGACAAAGAAGAGAATAAGCATGTCATTGTGCTTGGGTCTCATAGGCATAAATATTAGACACCAGCAACGTGACAGGATTGAATCCAACACAATTAAACTCACTGGCAGGTTGAAAACAAATTTAAGCAATTTTCCTTTTCCAATGAGATGTTGCTTCATGTTTTCCTATCAGCATTAAACCCAAACATAAGGAGCCTGTTACAGCCAAGCTTTGCAACATGCCTTAAAATATTAATAACCTGCTGCTTTCCCTAATTGGAATTAATGTCTTATGTTGCATACTTCATTTACATGGAAAGTTTCCATGAAAGTCAAACTGCATTGATGCCTAAGTAGCCAGCATACTGGGGATTGCATTTCATAGACTAAACCTACAGTTGTGAGCGCCTGACGGGTTGATTGGTTATGAGGTGAATCTGTAGAAGGACCTTCTAGTCGAAGTATGGGCAGCAGAGTGACCCAGACAAATAGGAAACAAGTTTGCTAATTTTATTATTAATGAATTTCTTAGAATGTAAGTCACCCTTGGAAAATGAACCCAATAGCATGCATGTGTTCATTTTGCAAAGCAATTTCGATTTGCAGGAAAATCACCCAGCAGGTGGATTGATTATTCACTGCAGCACACACCTAACGCAAGGCAGTTGGGAGTGACCAGGCACCAGAACTTTAAAAAGTGCGGGGAACTCGAGTATGGAACACCTCGTTCTCCCCATACTCTCATTCGTCATTTTGGACACAATACTGACAATGGAAGCTCTCGGAAGGGCTCAGAGTTGCTCCCATTTCTGCCTTATATATGCTGGAGTGCACAATGAAAGCAGTGCTTTTGGGGCCAGTAGAAAATGATTTAATCCTTGATACAAAACACAGTGCATATGGATACACATTTCAAAAGGTGTCCAATCTTCATTTACATTTACAATTGCAGAAGCAACAGAAAATAAAAATATAGCCCAATCACCTCTGGAATCAAAACCTTGCATGGAAAAACAAATAGTGAGAGATCCAGAAACAGTCATAAATTCAGATAGTACAATGCCTTTCCCCCCATGGCTCTTCCCATCCCCCAAATCTTCTATGTCTGTAGGTAAAGAGTCAATAGATAAAATCCTTTTGAAAACAAATATGCCCATGAACATGCATGAATTCAAGATATTAATTGACTTCTTTCTTATTTGGGGCAGGAAGAGCAAATCCTAAAGCCAGCAATCCTAGGCCTTCATCTTTATGTTGAATGAGAGCACAATACTGATCCCTGGTCCTGAAGAGGCCATGGAGGAAAGAAAGGCGTGCTTGGGAGTTAGAACAGGCATTTAGGGTTAACTTCTATACTCCTAGAGGAAATATAATCATCTTTTTCTGTGGTCTTGAGGGGCTCCCATATTGCTACAACAACTGGCTACAGAAAAGAAATTACTTACTGATTCATTTCTTCCAGACAGTCAGTTGCAAAGTAGAAACTCTTAATTTTGGGGTGACAAGCTTTGAAAGCACTGAAAGAAAGACAGAAAGAACAGTTCAGTTCTCCTTCCAAAGGATTTTGCATATTTATAGTTTTGACAGGCAATAGCTACATTCTGTCTTCATGCAAAATGTAATAAGCATGAGACGGGATCTAGAACTATGGTGAGGTCATGCCACATGTATTATTAAAGAAGTTCCACATTTATGCAGAAATAGATTGATAGCCTATAACCCTTTTCCCCTCTGCAATATACCCATGTTTATTACATGGCATATGTATATAAACATTGAAAGACTAGGGACTATCTCTCTAGCTCCTAGGCCTGAGCTAAAGAGAAAAATGAAGTGGTCGTATTCCTCAGTAATCTCAGAGCTGGAAGGCTCCTCCCAGGCCAGCTAGTCCAACTTCATACCTGACCAGGAATCCCCACTATGATGGTTCTAACAAGCAGTCATCCAGGGAAGTAAAGTGAAATTGACTCCATTCTCAGGCAGCCCATTCCACTTTTGGAGAGGTCTAACAACATCCAGCTGAAATCTGTTCCTTGGAAAATTCCACCTGTTACTTTGCTATGCCCTGGAATCAAGTAAACCAAGACTAATCCCTCTTCCACAGGACAGTTCTTCAACTTGAAGAAAACAAGTATGCTCTGAGTCTTCTTTTCAAGCTAAACATTTCCAGTTTGTTCAAGCAATCCCTGCACATCATGGTCTCAAGGCCTTTACCACCATCCTAGTCACCTTCCTCAACATGTATTCCAGGGTGTTAATGTCCTTTCTAAAAGGTGGCAGGTAGAACTGAACATAATACTTACTCCAGATGTAGTCTGACTAGGAAAGGGAATGGTGGTTCTATGATTTGTCTCCTTCTAGATACAGGGGTTCTTAACCTGGATTTCATGACCTTGTTTCTTTTAATATTTGATAAATATTTCAATACCCTTTTTATTTTGATGTATTTTATTTGACATATTTAGAAACATGATTCCAAGAAGGGGTCCACAGGCTTCACCAGATTACTAAAGGCATCCATGACACCAAGGTTAAGAACTCTTGTTTTAAACACCATTCGGACCAGAATCCCATTGGCCTTCTTGGTTGCCATATTGCATTACAGTCCACTAGAATCCCCAGACCAAGGACGTGAGCTTTCAGCAATATGGAAGAAGTCCTTGTTCTTCTACGTGCAATGGAAACAGGGCTGTGCATTTTTATTCCCCCCACTGTAAATATGCATATCGAGCATGGGAGCTAAGAGACGGGGAGATTGGAGTGAAGAATCAGCCTTAAAGAAATGACAACCAGATGAATAAGAACAATTATTTTCTGTTCCTTAATCTCAATATTGCAGAGGCCACAGAATTTCATTAATTTTGTTAGAGAGATTTCTACAAATATCATGGTCTATCTTTGATACTGCTCCTAGTATGACCTCCTTCCTGTGGTATACATTAATTAATTAATCAAAGCACTTCATAATTATCTGAGAGAAGTAAAGGGGCAAGAACAGTGTCATGGATCCCTTGGGCAGTCTGGTGAAACCTATAGACCCCTTCTCAGAACAATGTTTTTAAATGTATGTAATTAAATACCAAGGATTACAAATGAAATCAATCACTGAAATATAATTATCAACATATTAAAAGTAAGAAGCAAACAAGGTCAAGAACTCCTACTTGGCTACTGCTAAGACCTAGGCATGAACAAATAAAGCCCAGCACCTTTTCAACAGTAAATACCACTAAACAGTAAACCATTCTTTTACACAGAAAAGAAATATTGCCATGTGTTCAGTAGAAGTGGTAATAGAGAATACTGGCAGCTAGAGTAGAATGTCCTAAGTTGGAATTCTCTCAGAACTTTTCATGTAAACTCTCTACATAAAACAACCAAAGAATTTTTATGGTTTCTTGTGGTTCAAATGAAAAGTGAGGGGATATCTGAAACCCCAGGTAGCCTCAATGGCCCTGGATCCATGTTGGATCAGTAACTCAAGACTTATGTCCAGGGCCTCATCATCACAAGGCCTCACTGCATCAGAGACTTATATGACCAAGTAACTTTGTTGTACTTTATTTAGTACAAGATGATAGAGCTGGCCCAAGGACATGAAAAAGCTACTCCATTCTCTGCTCATAAATTGGACCCTTCTGGTCTCCTAAATATTATTTAGTAAATTTCAGCTCCCAAATCACCACATGGTGCTCTAATATAATTATTTTTATCGTTGTAAACAAGTAAAAGTGCCAGGGTAAGGCTAAGAAAATTTAAAATACACCTGTTCACTTCCCAGCAAGCACCTGGGGAATTTTAGTTAGAATTGATGAGTCTTGATTGTTCAAGGTAGAGAGCCCTACTTCCTTCCGTCTGCCCTCCACATTCACTGTTTGAGGTGGCAAATACTATTCAAAAACAGTAGGCCTCGGCAGGGAGAAAAGAGAGGAAGTTCTTAATTCATCAGTTTGGATTTAACTTAGTCCTTGGGTTTCATCCCACCTCGGCAAACTTTGCAGGAACTCTTGGAACAAGAAACATCAATTACGTTTCTATGGCTGGAGCACTGATTTGCTAGATGAGCTATTATTTGGCAACGTTATGTTGTGCTCCCTCTCTTGTAGTATTATCTTTTTCATATACAGTGAATGACTTATCTCCCTAAGTAGACCGCACATTCTTTGAGATCAGGTCTTGGGCCCCTTTTCTAGGCTGGGCCTGAATCAGGTCAGTTCCCTGGTAGTTTTGGTTCAACATTGAAGTACTTGTCATGAATAGTTAATAAGGGATTTTCTTAGCCATAGCAGGAGAAGGATGGTCAACAAGGAGAGGCACTGAGCACCCTCCAAATTGATTTGGCTGAGGGAAGCTCCCTTTCTGAGATGCCCTTGGTGATCGACCAGCCGAGCATCAATGAATCCCTGGAGCTCCTCAGGGCTGCTTTGTGCTCAGGGGAACAGGAAGTGCTAGTAGCACACTGAGCCTTAGGCCTTTGAGCCAATCAAGTGAGGAGGATGCTTTCAAAGCCTTTAAGGACCAATTTGCTTGGGGGCAGAGAGGTTAGACTATTTTGCTCTCTCCATGACCTCTTTCAATTTAGCAAATATTTGTCTGCTGTCTACTATGGCCAACGCACAATGCTAGGGACAAACTGTAGGGACTATAGAGATATATAAAACAGTTCTTGCCCTCAAGAAATTTCTAACTGAGTAGGGGAAGTTAATACAACACAACTGTAATTCAAGGCAAAATATGTAAGGTGTCCCTTCTTATACAGGGTGTTGTGAACGTCTTAGTGCTGGAACATAAGTATGTATATACAAGGGAGCAGTGAGAGATACGTCTGAGAAGGTAGGTGAAGGACAGAATATTAAAAAAAGTCTTTAATGCCTAGCTAAGAAGCTTCTACTCCATCCTGTGGACAATGAGGAGAAAGCAGACTGCTCAGCAGGGGAATGACATGAGCAGAATTAGTCTATGGAAGATTACTATAGAATAATGTGTCCCAGAGGTTAGAAGACATGTAGAGGCAGAGAGATGGCCAAGTCATAGTAGAGCCAAGACGGGAAGCATCTGAAGCAGTGTGGCGGCAGTGGGAATGACAAGTAGGGGAACCATGGGAAAGATCCTGTGGTAGGCAAATCAACAGGCTTTGTTGACCAAAGAAAGATGAGCAATGAAGGAAATGTAGTGGCCAATGATGACCCTGAAATTTTGAGTAAGGGGGACAAAGAGAATGTTAGTGGTCTTTACTGAGCTAGGAAATTGGGAGGAAGAAGTGCTTTGGGGAATGGTGGCACTGATGATCGATTTGGGTTTAGAAATGCTGCATTTGGATTCCTTCTGCTGGTATAATGCTAATGCATAGAACAACCACTCAGTAAATGTTTCTTTATGATAAGTACTATAATGCACTAGCTACATTTTGACACACTTCTTCCTGTAGATGTCTACAGTTGTACATAGCAAAATTATTTTAAAGTACAATTTAAATAAATACATTGAATTGATATCTAATTTTCTAGACTGCCTATCATCTGAATATTTGTCTTCCTAAGACATTTCCTCAATCCTCTGAGTGATTCACAGTTGCCAGACTATGTCTAGTTTTAAGCAGCTATTTTTCATGGGAAATGAAAATCAGTCTTCCTGAACTCCTTTGATATTCAGACTACCATAATGGCGCTACAATCCATGTTTGGGGTCTGTCTTATGGATTAGTTATTTTTTTTTTGTAAGTCAGAAACCATGACATTTGAACCCTTTAACTATTTCTCCATAAACATAGAGTGATTTAATGCTTTATTAGTGTTTAGTTGTTTCAGCCGTGTCCAACTTTTTATGATCCCTTGCAGGGTTTTCTTGGCAAGATACTGGAGTGATTTGCCATTTCCTTCTCCAGTTCACTTTACAGATGAGGAAACTGAGGCACACAGGGTTAACTGACTTGCCCAGGGTCATACAGCTAACAAGTATCTGAGGCCAGATTTGAGCTCAGGAAGATGAGTCTTTCTGACTACAGGCCTGGCACTCTATCCACTGTGTCACCTAGCTACCCTGACTTAATGCTTTAATAATCTTTTAAAAATCAACAAAGGATCATACAGTTTGGTCAGAAGGACCCTTACAAGATCATCTGGTCCAATCCCTTCCTTTCACATATTACAGGATCAAAGATCTAGAATTGAAAGAAACATTAGTAGTTATAGTCCAAGGCCTTCATTTTTCAGATGAGGAAATTGTGGCCCAGAGTAGTTCAGTGATTTGCCCAAGGTTACATAGGTACTAAGTGGCAGAGCTGGAATTTAAACTCAGTTTTCTATGACTTAAAGTTAGGGGCTCCATGGTACATACCATCACCACTGTATCACACTGCCTCCCTAAACTGAGGACTGGAGAGATTCACACAAATAGTAGTAGTAGTAGTAGTAGTAGTAGTAGTAGTAGTAGTAGTAGTGGTAGTAGTGATAGAAGAAGAAGAAGAAGAAGAAGAAGAAGAAGAAGAAGAAGAAGAAGAAGAAGAAGAAGAAGAAGA